AGGGTCGGGGCCTTCCTGAACCTTTTGCATGTGCGCTCGCGCGTTACCGCGCGCGTGATTCGGTTTAGCGCACGATTCATGCCGCGCGCGTGCTCCGCTTATCCCGACCACGCACGCGGCCGCGCATGCCGACCCAGTCCCCCTCGCGCCCGACTACGCGCAACTGTTTTTGCGCATGCGCCGCGGCCTAGTCGCACCCAGGCCCATTAGTTGCGAGCCCCGCCAAACCGACCAGCGCGTAGTCGGATGGAAACCCAGATGCCAATTGATGTACATTCAGCCTTCCGCCCGCATGCACGACCTCACTCTCGGCCAGGCAACATATCGCAATAACTTAAACATTCACTACGCACCGACTGGTTGAACTTAGTTAAATTCAACCAAACGGCACATTGCATGATAATGCGCTCGCCTGCGCGTGGATTGCCGCGCCGCCCACCCGAAACGCGCGCGCTCGCGCCCGTTCCGTTCCGCGCAACTAACGTCAGGCACAGCCTGACGCAACGTGCACTGACTCGCACTCAGGTCCAGGAGGCCACCCTGCGCCAGATCGGCGTCGCGCGCGATCAGTCGACGCGCATTCGCGCTCCAACGCGTGATCTCACTCGGCGCGCGAAGCGCGCTAAACGGTTCGCACTGCGCACGGCTCGGCGCGCGAAGCGCGCTTCAAGGTTTGCAAGGTCGACCGCTCGGCGCGCGTTGCGTTCGAAAAACCGATCCACGTAGCCCAATCCGACGCGCGTTCGAAGTCGGTCGCGACGTGCCACGCGCACAATGTCTCGCGGCATGCGCATCCGTGCCCCATGAAGCGCAGTCACAGTCACATTCGCGCGGGCGCACTCACTCCGTCCGCGGCATGTCGCACCCTGGCATGCCCGATCTCTGCACCTCGCACCCAAACTCCTTCACGAGCACTGGCAGAAACGTCGAAACACGTCACGCATGCGCAGTCATACGCAGACCCTGTCGCAGCCAGGCCCGTGCCAATCAGCTCATGCATGCTCGCGCTGCCCCCCTCTCAACTGCCAGGCCCGCTCATCCATATCCTGACGCGCTCTCTAAGAAGCTCTTCAGGTTCTGTGAAGCCCGACGCTGGCCACCTCGCGCCCAGCCATTCATGCCCATGCCAAATTGCAGCGCTGCGTTTCTGTGGGCGCTGGAGGAAGGTGGCGCGGCAGCCGTTGCCACGTGGGTTGCCGTGCAATTGCCGCGATGGCAGCGCCCCGATACATGGCCGCGCGGGGGCTGCCCCTGAGATGTCGCTGCAGTGGAATGCCGCAGCCGACGACGTACACTGCGCCCCACTATGATGCCGCTGCTCGCAGATTTCCAGTGCGCCACCGCGGGGGCAATCGCCTTGGCCGCGGGCAGAACAGTCCATTGGCGAGGCCGCGCTGCCGAGTGCATCGTGAAGGGCAAAGCTTGAGCTCCTGCTCGGGGCTCCTGGCGCAGCTTAAGTGCCGCCAAGTAGCTGCGCCGGCTGGGTTCATTCGGGCGGCTTTACTTCGCCCTGGTGAAGTTGATCAACCGCCGTGCGACGGCCACCCGCGGTGAGTGCACCTCTGGTTTTGCCGACGCCTCTTGCCTACGTATCCTGCCTACGTATCTTGACTACGTCTCTTGACTGCGTCCCTTGCCTACGTCGCTTGACCACGTCGCTTGACTACGTCGCTGTCGCCGCTAGAGGTCTTGACTGCGCGAGTTGACTACGCCGCTTTCGCCGCTAAATCTCTTGGCTACGAGAGTTGACTACGTCGCTGTCGCCGCTAGAAATCTTGGCTACGCGGGTTGACTACGTCGCTGTCGCCACTAAAAATCTTGACTACGCAGGTTGACTGCGCCGTCGTCTTGACTGCGCATCTGCCGTCGCCCCGCGAAGTATCGCCGCCCCCCGCCTCCCGTCGGGGGAGTTACTCGAGCCAGCTGCTTCCTGGCGGGCGAGTTAATCGCTCCACGTTGCTTCGCGTCGGGCTGGTCACGTGCCGATGCCATCTTCACCTCGATTGGGCGACCCGCATCCATGCGCTTCGCGCCGCGGACCCCACCCATGCCCAATGGCCTCGCCCGCGCGAGGATAGAGCGCCGCGCGCCCCAATCGGTGGACAGATGAGGGGCAAGGATGCGCGAACTAAGGGCCCCCTGCGCCCTGCCTCCACGCCCGATAACGCGGACGAGCTGCGGCGCTGGAGGGCGCGGCGACGCGCCGCTGCGGCCCGCGAGCTGCCCAGCGGCGCCACGCCCGCTGCCCAACCGCGCCCGACGGGGCGCGCCACGGCCGCTCCGCGGCGGCCCAGCTGCGGCGGCGCAGGCGCTCGCGCGCAGCCCCCCCCCCCCCCCCTCCGCTACATTGCATCCCCATGCGGCGGTGGCCATGCTTCGGCCCGACGGTCGCCCTGGCACCGCGCGCCCGATGACCCCCCCCCCCCTGCACATTTTGCAATTCCCGCGCAGGGGCGACCGATCGGTCGGCGCCGCCGCTGCAGCGGCGCGCGAAGCATTTGGCCAACGACAGCCCGCTCACAGCAGCGCTGCGGCAGGATTTCGGCCGAGCAAGCGCCGCCCGTGACTGTCCGACAAGCGCCTATGCGCGATTTGCTGGCAACGGCGCTTGGCCTTTGGCCTTCGGGCACAGAGCCGTTCGGATCCCAAGGCCTTAATGCCCATATGTGATATACCCTCGGCACCGGGCCTAGCCCCTAGACGTAGAGAAGCCCCCCCCCAGCTGTAGATAGGACCATCCCAGCCAGTAGGTATGACCATCGCAAAAGTATCCAGGACCCGCCAAACAAGTAGGTGGGACCCTCCGAAAAGAAAGCAATCGTATTTGCCCAGAAGCAGATCGAACCCTTCCAAAAGTATATAGGACTTGCCCAACGTGTAGGTAGGATCCCCCAACAGGTAGATACGACCTTTCCAAAAGCCCCCCACACACACACACACACACACACACACACACACACACACACACACACACACACGCGCGCGCACACACACACACACACACACACACACACACACACGCACGCACACACACACACACAACACACACACCACCCACTCCCCTCCCCCCCCAAAAAAAAACAAAAAAGAAGACAAAAGTCCCCCCGAAACAAGTATATAGGGCCCTCCCAACAAGTAGATAGGACACTCCCAACAAGTAGCTAGGAACTTCCCAACAATTAGGTCGGAATCTCCCAACAATAAGTATGACCCTCCCAACCAGTAGATATGACCATCCAGCAAGTAGTGAGGACCCTTCCATCAAGTAAATATGACCCCCAGATCAAGTAGATAGGACCCCCCCAAAAGCATATGGGACCCTCCCAAACATAAACCCCCCCCCCCCCCCCCCCCCCCACCCCCACACACACACACACACACACACACACACACACACACACACACACACACATAAGTGGCGGGGAGCCTCCCAACAAGAAGGTAGGACCCTTCCAACAAGTAGATCGGGACTTCTTAAAAGTAGATAGGGGCCTCCCAACAACTAGATAGGGCCATCCCATCAAGTGTATACGGAACTCCCCAAAGTATGTTGGACCCTCACAAAAGTAGATCGGACCCTCTCACAAAGTGCGTGGGGCCTTGTTAACAAGTATATAGGCACTTCCGAATAGTAGGGCCCTCCCAGCAAGTAGGTAGCCCCCCCCCCGTCAACAGTAGCTGGGACCCTGCCAAACGTAGATAAGACGGTTCCAGAAGTAGGTCGGACCCTCCTGACAAGTGGTTACGACTTTCCGAACAAGTAGATCGGACCCTCCAAAAAAAATCTAGGTCAGCCAAACAAGTTGGTCGGACTCTCCAAAAACCATATAGGACCCGACCAAAAGCATGTATAAACCTCACATCAAGTAGATAGGACCCTCCAAGCAAGGAGGTAAACTGCTCAAAAATAAAACCCTTCCGAAGGCAGATAAGACCCTTTCCATAGTATATAGGGTCCTCCCAGAAGTGGATAAGACCCTCACAACAAGTACATACGACCCTCCCAACGAAAAGATATGACCCTCCCTAAAGTAGGTCGGACCCTCCACAAAGTAGAGAGACACCTCCAAACAAGAAGATAGCACCAGCCAAACAAGTAGAAATGACCCTCCGAACATATAGCTAGGACCCTCCCAGCAAGTCCATAGGCCGTTCCCGACAAATAGATAGGATCCCCCGAGAAGTAGATCAGAGTCTCCGCAAAGTAGATAGGACCCTCCGAACAAGTAGATAGGATCGTCCCAGCATGTGGATAGGACCCTCCCAAAAAATGTGAATATGATCTCCCAACAAGTAGATAGGACCCTCCCAAGTGTATATAGGACCCTCCCAACAAGTAGATAGGATCTCCCAAAAGTAGATAGGGCCCTCCGGACAAGTAGATATAACCCTCCCAACAAGTAGATAGGACCCTCCCAACTAGATAGGACCCCCCCCCCGAACAAGTAGATAGGACCCTCCCAACAAGCAGATAGGACATAGGACCCACAAGACATATGAAAAACCATTGCCCCCTCTCAATATGTATGTATGTCGTTTCGGTTTCTTGCCTCACAAGAATAGGTGTTGGTTATCGCCCTCTGCGTAGTCACTCAATAGTAGGAATGCTTGAGTGCCCGCTTACAATATGTGCGTTGTGTGTTTTTGGTTATTCGGTTTGGGTGTCTCCGGCCTCCGGACAGCCAGACCCATCAGGCCTCCAGAAGGCCGGGCCATTCAAGCATTGGGGTTACGTCCGTGATGCAGCGGCCCTATCAGACAAAACAACGAAAACATGCGTTGGTGCCTACTTGAAATCTTCGGGCGGTGCTCACCAAAGAAACGCATTCGTTGATCGTCATTGTCTCTCCCCCACGATGTCGGGGCCCAGGGTTATTGCCAGACGTTCCCAGGACGAACGAACACACCTCAAGCTGTCTATTTCCACAGGGCCTGCCTCGGCCATGTCCGCGCGCCTCGGCCAGGCGGCGAGCGGCCAGCCACCGCAGGGCGACGCCAACATGGATGTCGACATTGAGTTACCCGACGCAGACACGGCCTTGGTGTGCGGCGAGGAGCCGATGATGCCCACCGACAAGCGTCTCGGCGGCAGAGACCAATATCATCGGGCCCCCTCATGTCTCTTGCGTGACCACGACACGCTCGACGGCCGCGTGAAGTTGGAGAATCCCGACAGCGTCAAGGCGGAGGGTCATGAGTGTCAGGAGGAGGCGACCGCAGGAACCGAGGCCAGCATGGAGCAGGAGGATCACGGCACTGGGGGGGATGAACGGCAGAGGTTGTATCGGCAGGCCGCCGTGGAGCTCTACACCAAGCTTGCCAAAATGTTGAGCCGCACGTCAGTTGTTCCACCGCCTTTACCAGACGCAGAGCCTGAGAATGCCACGGCCGAAGCAGTCGAGGCCCCACCAGAGGGCCAAGGCGATGGGGAAGCTGCCGAAGGAGATGAGGATGCAGGAGGAGCACCCGAAGGAGAGGTCGGCGCTGTCGACGACGGCGGGGACGTGGAGAAAGACTTGGAGCTGATTCGGGAGAAGGGGGTCAGCCCCTTATCCATGGGGGCCCCATGGCCGACAGGTTCACACCTTGGGGCGGCCTGCAGGATCAAGAAGACGATCAACTCGTACGTCGACGCGCTAGGTGACCCCAAGTGGTTCGAAGAGCTCATTCTTGGAACGGTCCACGCCTTGCACAGGCGCTACCAGAAGCACAAGCCCAGCATAATTGGGAAGTGCTCTTTTGAGGTGCAATTGGCTTACACTCAGGTGGACAATCGGCTTGCTGCGTTGATTACCCTGCACAAAACCATTAAATCATGGATTGAGGCCCAAGTGGATATGCTCTTGCAGGAGACGCTGGCGCCGTTCTCCGTCATGGTCTCCTACTTCCTCCACTCGGACAGCGCCATGTCGGAGGAACTCAACATCATCTTGACCTATGCCACGTTCCAGGGGATGTCGCTCAAGCTGGAGTCGGTCGCGCACGCGATCGAGACATTCGACGTTAGCATTCTCACCCACATCAGCGAGCTCGCGAAGGCCAAGCCCGAGGAGCCAGCTCCAGAAGCCACGCCAGCTGTAAAGGCTGAGGAGGGGAGCACGGCCACGGCCAGCGCTGGCACGGGCACCAAAAGGGGGAAGACCGCTAAGGAGTCGATCAAGCGAGCTGGGGAGGAGCTCAAGCAGCGAGCCGCCATTGGCCAGACCCCGATCTATCACCTCTCCGTCATGGTGTCGGAGGCTGTTCGGACATGGATCACCGAGCTTCCCGAGTGGTGGATCAAGGACGAGTTGAAGGCCTACGACCTCGTAGTCGAGATCGAAGTGATCGTTAAGCAATGGGGCGCCAAGGAGAGGAACATGCGGACCGACCTGGAGGACGACACGTTTTCAGAGGTCGGCCAATACCGAAGCATTGCGACCCATCCATAGCCACGATTTGGGGGTTGGTTCAGGTCCTGGGGAGGCTGTCACGATGTTTTTTTTGGGGTTGGAGAGGCCAGTAAAGAACACGTTTTCTGACGATGATGGCGTGGTTGTGTTGCAGGTTTTCGGTATTGGAAGGTGCTCAGGAGCTTCGCTGTCATCGCGAAGTGCGCTCACCACACGGAGTCCGCCAGGCCTTCCTCGAGCGACGCGCGGCACGCCAGGAGGGTGATCCTCGACCAGGTTCGGCAGCCGAGCTCTCCTGCGTCGGAGCTCGCGCGCACGCTGCAGGCATACCCAGTGGGCAAGGCGATGATGGAGGCCAGCCGCCTGCACGTGGCTCAGAGCATCGAGGACGACGCGGCGACGGGAAAGTTCGAGGCCTCGTCGAAGCGTTTCGAGAGCCACTTCGCGGAGTGCTTTGACGATTTGCCGCAGTGGATCGCCAGGATGCGCCGCATCTCTGTCGAGGATGGCTTCGGCTTCATCGACGACCTCTTCAAGAACATGTGCCCTTTCTTCGCGAGCGCGCACGGTGCCATACAGAAGTGGTCCGCGGCGTCGGTGCACTCGAACCTCGACTACATGGCGAGCAACCTGTCGAACTCAATGGACCTCATCAGGATCGGCAGGTACATGCTCATCGACATATGGGGCGAGCTCGTTCTGCCTATAATGCCGACGCTCAGCGACGCGCTACTAGCGCGCACTAACGGGTACGATATTCAGGGGTGTGATGATGGGCACCCTTTGATGGATATGGATCAGAAGTCCGAGCACGATGAGGCCATCATGGAGGTGAAGGCATCACACGATAAGACCATCGAGCACTTCTCCGCGACGGCGGTCCTCGTCAAGGAAAGCATCACCAGCTTCGGCAACACCCTGACGGACATCAACACCAGGTGGGAGAACGCCAAGGTGGCCTTACTCGGTCGCGTGGGCGAGGTTATCTACGATAAGTTGCCTGAGGAGTTCGTCTCTAACCCAGTCAAGCTTCAGGGCTCCATCGGGCGTGCCACTGACCTGCTGAAGGAGATGCTCACATTCATGGAGTACTGCGTGAAACTTGCGGATATGAAGGCACATGTCATGCAGATCGCTGAGCAGCAGGAGGAGTTCACGAACACTGTGGTCAAGTTTGCGGGCATGTTGAACTGGATGAATCGGGAGATCTTCGAGTTCGATGCCGACAGCTTGGCCACCGATCAGTGCCGCGTCCTGAAGGTGAGCGATGTCTTCAGGCAGTTCGTCAACGACGTAGGCTCGCAGGGCAGCTCTTCGCTGACGCGCATCCTCGCCGCGCCGACCCCCCAGCATTTAACCATGATGTGTGTTTGAAGGTTTCCACCCAGCTATTTTGAAGAGTTTTGAAGGTTTCCACCCAGCTCTTCTTTACATTGTGTGATGGTTTACTTCGTGGTTTTGAAGGTGTCGAGGGGGTCGGCGACGGCGAGGGGCGCGCTCGTCGGGGGGCTTCTCGCCCAGGCACGCCCATCTACACCGACGCCGCCGACAACTTTGTCAATGGCCTGCTCGCGGAGATCGCCCCCAAGCTCAGCTTCGGACTCGGCGAGGTCAGCGAGAGCGTCGTGCGAGAGATCGCCCAGGAGCAGGCTTTCGCCAGGCTGGTCACTGACGCCGACATCACTGCCGTCCTGCTGCCAGGCGTTGTATGGGCTGACGGCTCTCAGATCGACGATGCAGCTGTAGAGGCGGTTCCGTACAACAAGGCGTTCTCAGACTTGGTGTCATTCATGCAGGCAGGTTCCATTAGCGACATCTTGATCCCAGGCGCCTCTAAAGACGGCCTCGAGGCTCGCATGCCAGTGGATCTTGCGAAGCTGTTCCATTAGCGACATCTTGATCCCAGGCGCCTCTAAAGACGGCCTCGAGGCTCGCATGCCAGTGGATCTTGCGAAGCTGTACTTGGACATCGTGACGCAGGTGAAGGACTTGGTGGGGATCGCAGCGCAGCTGCACTCGAACCTCTACATGGACCAGAAGGCGAGCGAGGAGGACATGTTCGGCAAGTTCACCCATGCGCAGCGCATGATGGGGAGGGCGCTGGCACGCATGGACAAGCTCCTGAGCTCGAAGGAGGTCCACGAGTTCGAGAAGCAGGGCTGGGCGCTGACCGTCACCCCTCAGAGCGCGAGGCAGTGGATCAGCGCGCTCGCAGTCTACTCGTGCAGCTGCCGCAACCAGCTGTTCAAGAACTTGGAGGCGGTCCTCCAGTGCCACTCCAAGGCTTCGGCTTCATCGACGACCTCTTCAAGAACATGTGCCCTTTCTTCGCGAGCGCGCACGGTGCCATACAGAAGTGGTCCGCGGCGTCGGTGCACTCGAACCTCGACTACATGGCGAGCAACCTGTCGAACTCAATGGACCTCATCAGGATCGGCAGGTACATGCTCATCGACATATGGGGCGAGCTCGTTCTGCCTATAATGCCGACGCTCAGCGACGCGCTACTAGCGCGCACTAACGGGTACGATATTCAGGGGTGTGATGATGGGCACCCTTTGATGGATATGGATCAGAAGTCCGAGCACGATGAGGCCATCATGGAGGTGAAGGCATCACACGATAAGACCATCGAGCACTTCTCCGCGACGGCGGTCCTCGTCAAGGAAAGCATCACCAGCTTCGGCAACACCCTGACGGACATCAACACCAGGTGGGAGAACGCCAAGGTGGCCTTACTCGGTCGCGTGGGCGAGGTTATCTACGATAAGTTGCCTGAGGAGTTCGTCTCTAACCCAGTCAAGCTTCAGGGCTCCATCGGGCGTGCCACTGACCTGCTGAAGGAGATGCTCACATTCATGGAGTACTGCGTGAAACTTGCGGATATGAAGGCACATGTCATGCAGATCGCTGAGCAGCAGGAGGAGTTCACGAACACTGTGGTCAAGTTTGCGGGCATGTTGAACTGGATGAATCGGGAGATCTTCGAGTTCGATGCCGACAGCTTGGCCACCGATCAGTGCCGCGTCCTGAAGGTGAGCGATGTCTTCAGGCAGTTCGTCAACGACGTAGGCTCGCAGGGCAGCTCTTCGCTGACGCGCATCCTCGCCGCGCCGACCCCCCAGCATTTAACCATGATGTGTGTTTGAAGGTTTCCACCCAGCTATTTTGAAGAGTTTTGAAGGTTTCCACCCAGCTCTTCTTTACATTGTGTGATGGTTTACTTCGTGGTTTTGAAGGTGTCGAGGGGGTCGGCGACGGCGAGGGGCGCGCTCGTCGGGGGGCTTCTCGCCCAGGCACGCCCATCTACACCGACGCCGCCGACAACTTTGTCAATGGCCTGCTCGCGGAGATCGCCCCCAAGCTCAGCTTCGGACTCGGCGAGGTCAGCGAGAGCGTCGTGCGAGAGATCGCCCAGGAGCAGGCTTTCGCCAGGCTGGTCACTGACGCCGACATCACTGCCGTCCTGCTGCCAGGCGTTGTATGGGCTGACGGCTCTCAGATCGACGATGCAGCTGTAGAGGCGGTTCCGTACAACAAGGCGTTCTCAGACTTGGTGTCATTCATGCAGGCAGGTTCCATTAGCGACATCTTGATCCCAGGCGCCTCTAAAGACGGCCTCGAGGCTCGCATGCCAGTGGATCTTGCGAAGCTGTACTTGGACATCGTGACGCAGGTGAAGGACTTGGTGGGGATCGCAGCGCAGCTGCACTCGAACCTCTACATGGACCAGAAGGCGAGCGAGGAGGACATGTTCGGCAAGTTCACCCATGCGCAGCGCATGATGGGGAGGGCGCTGGCACGCATGGACAAGCTCCTGAGCTCGAAGGAGGTCCACGAGTTCGAGAAGCAGGGCTGGGCGCTGACCGTCACCCCTCAGAGCGCGAGGCAGTGGATCAGCGCGCTCGCAGTCTACTCGTGCAGCTGCCGCAACCAGCTGTTCAAGAACTTGGAGGCGGTCCTCCAGTGCCACTCCAAGGCGTGCAAAGGGATACTTCCAGAGCTCGACGCGGCGGTCGACTCGAGCGGACGCTTCAACGAGAAGCTCGGCCTCAAGCTGTTCAACAACCAGCAGGGCGTGGTGAACGCCTACAACAAGGTGCATAAGAGCATGTCACACCTGGTCAGGGCGGGCAAGCTCCTGGAGTTGGTGCCTACCGTGGCCGAGCACGACCTGACGGCGGAGGCCGTCGCGACGGGCGTCACGTGCATGGCCATCGGCCTTGCAAAGGGGCGCTCTGCGCCACCTGGGGCGCCATCGGAGCAGTTTCAGTACCCACCCACCCCCCCTCCTACATAGAAGTGGAGAGGGGGATGGGGACGACGACGACGACGACGACGACGACGACGACGGCGATGCTCTGATGGCGCCCCAGATGGTGCAGCGCACACTTTTGTTAGCCGTGCAGGCGAAGGCGAACCAGGTCGTGGCGATGACCCGCGGCGTGCAGATGCTGGAGGATCTCAAGACCTCCCCGACGGGCCCTGCGAGGGCCGCGGCGTTCCTGGAGCGCTACAAGACGGACAAGGCGAAGGACGTGCCCACGTGCTTCTGGGCGGAGTTCGAGGCGATCTCGGCAGAGGATCGTGGCGCGCCAGCCGCGGTCGGCGCCGAGGCTCCGCCTGCCGCCGATGGCTCCAGCGGCTGCTGTGGAGGGGCGGCGCGCGCGGCCAGCGGCAGCCAGTGCTACACGCCCCAGCCAAAGGGCACGGGGCCGCCGAGCCAGGGCACGGCGACCAAGACCAAGCAGGAGCAGCACGACAGCGGCGGGGCGTCGAGCTCAGCCGCGGGCGCCAAGCGTGGCGCGCCAAGCTCCAGGCCAGCTGGCCTGAAGCGCGCGAAGCGCTAGGGAGGCAGGCTCACTTTTCGGAGCCTCCCTGGGCCACCTCGCGGTGGGGTTATGGGGGGTCAGACAATGAGGAGGATGAGAGGGAGGAGGATGAGGAGAATGAGGAGGAGGAGGATGAGGAGGATACATCATCAACCTGATGATGGTAACGACGACGATGATGCTGATGATGATGGCGACTATGCTGATGGTAACGACGACGATGATGGTGACGGTGGTGATGATGATGCCGATGAGGGTGATGATGATGATGATGACGGTGGCGAAGATGATGATAACGATGACAATGACGATGACGATGGCAATGGTGATGATGATGATGATGATGCTGATGATGATGATGATGATGCTGATGATGATGATGATGATGATGGTGGTGGTGATGACGACGATGATGCTGATGATGCTGATGATGCTGATTACGATGATGACGAATAGGAGGACGACGAGGATGATGAGAGGGAGGATGATAATCATGATAGGGGTCCCCGTGAGGTGGCCCGCGCGAGCGAGGCATTCTTTTTGTTTCAAGAAACAAGCCTGCGAGGGGACCCCTCGTGGCTCGTGCCGCCATCGCCCACTGCTGTGAAGTGGGCGCGGGCAAGGCGGCGGGAGAGCCCAGGACGTCAGGCGGCGAGAGGCGTGACATCATCGTCGTCGTCGTCGACGTCGTCGTCGTCACCTCCTCCAGCTTTTGCTGTTCGCCTGGGTTGCTTTTTCTCCCCCCTCCAGCCTTCCCCCCGTCCTCCTCCTACTTCCGTCCCCTCCCTCCTTCACTACTCCTTCGCCCTCCTCCTGCTCCTCCACTCCCCCTCCGCCCTCCTCCGACACCTCCTCCTCCTATTCCCACGCCTTCTCCATGCTCCTCCACTCCTCCTTCGCCCAACTCCTGCTCCTCTTAATCCTACTCCGACTTCTCCACTCCTCCCGCACCCTCCTCCCACTCCTCCTACGCCCTTCTCCTACTCCTCGTCCCTCGCCCTCCTCCTCTTCCTACCCAACATACACGCTCTGCAGTAGTTCCACCCGTGGGCGATTGATGGTCACGGCTGGCCCGAGTTATGGGCGTTATGGGAGGGCCACGGATCATAATGTGTGCCGCTGTTAGGTTGCGCGCTCGGTTATGCTAGTGCTATGCCCCGAAGTGTTTCGTAAAGTATAAGTTGCCTCAAAAAATCGCGACCCTAAAGGAAATGAAAAAACAATGCGTCGTTAGGAAGTATCGCCCCCGAAAGTCTCGACGAACGAAGTGTCGCCGCCAAACGTCTTGACGTACGAAGGTGCCGAGTGTAGTGTCGCCGCCAAACGTCTTGACGTAGTGCCCCCCCCCCAACGCTGACCCGCGGGACACACTCAACTCCAAGAGGCCCCCAAGAGGCCCCCAAGAGGCCCCCAAGAGGCCCCAAGACGGGCCCAAGAGGCCCCCAGGAGGCCGGCCCCCCAGAGGCCTCCAAGAGGCCCCCAATATGCTCCCAAGAGGTCCTCAAGAGGGCCCACGAGGCGCCGAATACGCCCCAAGAGGCCTCTAAGAGGCTCCCACAAGACATCTACTACTACTTCTACTCCTACGACTACCACTACTACTACTATTACTACTCGTACTAGTATCACTACATCCTCTCCGACTACTATAACTACAACTACTATGACGGCTACTACTTCTTCTAATCTTACTACTACTACTTCTACTACTACTACACATACTACTACTCCTACTACTACTAGTACTGCCACTACCACTGCTACTAGTCCCACCAGCCCTTTGGGCGTGAGTGGTTTAGGGAGCTCTCTCTGTTTTCACCCCCCCTTCTTCCCCTTCGGGGAGGGGTCTACCCCTCCCCCTACCCCCTCCCCCTGGGCCTGGAGAGGGCGTTCCGCGGGTCGTCAGGGGGGTCATTTTCGACTCCTGGGAGGGCTAAAAACGACACCCCTCACGAGGATTCTGGCCCCGACGGGGGGGGCAGACAAAACCCTCTCCTCTTCTTTGAAGCCAAAATGATTGATGTTACTACGGTTTTGGCCCCATTTTGGCCTTCTGAGGGGGCAGCGCTCATTAAAGCTCCCCTCTTCTTTCAAGGCAAAATCATTGATTTTACGAAGGTTTTGGGCTCATGTTGCCCTTCTGAGGGGGCAGCGCTCATTAAAGCTCCCCTCTTCTTTGATCGTTTCTCTCCAAGATGGCCCCAAGAAGCGCCCAGGAGGCACCAAGAGGCCCCAAGATGGCCCCAAGAGGCCCCCAGGAGGCCCCCAAGAGGCCTCCAAGAGGCCCCCAAGATGCCCCCAAGAGGTCCCCAAGAGGCCCCAAGAGCCGCCGAAGACGCCCCAAGACGCCCCACGAGAGGCCCGACCGACTCACCCCAGGACGAGAGGCCCGAACGACTCACACCAAGAAGAGCCCGAACGACGCACACCAGGACGAGGGGCCCGAACGACTCACACCAGGACGAGGCGCCCGAACGACTCACACCACGAGGAGCCCGAACGACTCACAACACGAGGAGCCCGAACGACTCACACCAGGAGGAGGGGCCCGAACGACTCACACAACGAGGAGACCGAACGACTCACACCAGGAATAGGGTCCCGAAGGACTCACACAAGGACGACGGGGCCAAAGGACTCACACAACGAGGGCCCCCAACGACGCCCACCAGTCGTCGTCGTCGTCGACGTCGTCGTCGTCGTCGTCGTCGTCGTCGTCGTCGTCGTCGCCGCCTTCGTCGTCGACGTCGTCGTCGTCGTCGTCGTCGCGGTTGTGGTCGTCGTCGTCGTTGCGGTCGACATCGTCGTCGTCGTCGGGTGCGTCGACGTTGTTCACATCATCGCTGAGGTCGTCGTCTCCGCTAAGTCCCTCTTGCCTCCCACCGCTTTCTCTCCCTTCTCCTCCGCCTCGTCCTTCTCCCGCTGCCCCCACAAGGAGGATGTACAAGGCGGCGGGGGGAAGGAGGAACAGGGGAGATATGCGGGGCCAAGCGGACACACGCCTGAAAAACACGACTGTCGGCATGCTTCGCACGAGTTGCTGTTGTGAGATGGGCTGGTGGGGATACGCGAAGCGTAAAGAATTAAAAGCTCCATCGCGAAACTCTACACATAAGTGTGTGTGTGTGTGTGTGTGTGTGTGTGTGCGTGCGTGCGTGCGTGCGTGCGTGCGTGCGTGCGTGCGTGCGTGCGTGTGTTTTATGCGGAGTTTCTCGGGGCCCTGACCGGGCCCCGGCGTCCCTGCCTGCCCTGTGCCCTGCGCTTTCCCTCCTTCCGATGCGAGTCGGGTGCAGAGACTTCGAACTACCAAAAGGCATCTGAAGAACTTGCTTCTCCTCCTGCTTCTTCCTCCTCATCACCACTAACATGTACTGGGTGGTGAAATCGGGTCACAGCTCCACTGAAGTCATGACCAACAAATGGCTTGAACTTGAAATAAAACAGGCGCAATGACGCGGATTGGGCCTAGACTGACTGCTCCAGCGGAAAACAGGGCTGCGCCCCCTAACTAGCAACTTCGGCATGGCATTCAACGGATCGTGCCCCTCCGAGAGCTCCACTCTCGGATCATGGGGCCAAATTTGCATGGCGCCCCCCCCCATCTCGAGTCTCGGCACCCCCTTCACACGGATCGTGCCACAGACGGATGCAACTTCACGTGCGGCCCGAATGAGAGAAGAAGACGTCGTGTGTCCAGAAGACACGCGAGCAATACTTGTATCCAGTCGCATCCGCAGCCCGAGGTGACGCAAGGCGGGCCGAAACGAGGAGCGAGAGTCACATAGCGTCACGTCCCCCTGTGTATATTGACTGGTGTCTCCTGACACGGGCCATACCCCACAAGGAGCTCCACCGGCATCCCCAGAGCCAAGGTTCGCATCCCGCCGCCGCGCCAATGTCGGCACACCCCTGACCTGGAACGTGAGGTGGGGGCGTGTTGGGTGCCTCTTGCGGCCTCGCGGCGTGTTTTTCAATGGCCTCTTAACGCCCGAATATGGATCGTGAATTGGGGGCCTCTGGGGGAGCCGTGCAAGATGAAGACGTGAAACGTCTCATACGCGTCTGGGGGCCTAATTGGGAGGTTTCGTGGAAGCTTCCTGGCGGCATTCAGGGAGCGGGCCTCTCCAGGGTCCCTTGTGGAATCTGGGAAGGAGGGGCGTTTTCGGGGTCTCTTGGAAGCGCCCTGGAGAACCGCACCCCTCAAGATAGTGCCACACGACCCGCTGTGGCACTCTCTGAGGGCCCCCTTGGGCCGTTTTTGAGGCCTCGTAAGCAATCTTGTGGACCGTCTTAGGAGCTGTCGACGAATTTGGCCTCTTTGGGCAGTGGTGGTGGTCGCCTTGGGGCTGTTTTGGTCAGTTCCAGGGTCCTTCTGACCCGTCTTGCCAGGCTGCGGCCGTCTCGGGGCTCTCTTAGTGGCCTCTTGAGGTCATGTTGGGGCTCTCTTGGGAGCCTCTTGCGGCCCTCTGGGGCCGTCTTGGGGCCCTTTTGGATGATCTAGGGGCCCTCTTGGGGGCCTCATGGGCCGTCTTGGGGCGGTTGTTGGAGCCTCTAGGGCTGTTTTGGTGCGATTTCGGAGGCCGTCAGAGCCGTCTTGGGCCGCTCTTGGCCCGAAAAGGCGGGAACCTCAGCGACCTTCACACACGTATGGGATATTACGATGTTGTGCCTTCTCGGGGGTCCTTTTGGGAGCCTTTTGGGGCGTCTTGGAAGCCTCGTGGGCCGTCTTGAGGCCGTATTGGGCACTCTCGGGAACTCTTGGGCGCTCTCAGGCCCCCCTTGGGCATTTTGGAATTATCTTAGGCCGTCGTAGGTGCCCCTTGGGCCGTTCTGGGTGGCTTTTTGGTGTAGTGGGCAATCTTGGATGCGGAAGGCGGGCCAACACCCCCATGGAGGACCCAGGGGCCAAGTTTTGGGCCACCCGGGGTGTTATCCAGTCATGCAGACATACACATAGATACACACATACATACATATGTGTACCGCTCGTACCAAGGGGCGCCAGAGGGTCCTCAGAGGGCCTAGTGCACACGGTTGGGGTCGTCGGACACATACATATGCATATCTATATATATATATATATATGATCCATTTGTAGAGAGAAAGAGAGAGAGAGAGAGAGAGAACAAACAAAGAGAAAGCGAGAGAGAGGGAGAGAGAAAGAGAAGGGGAGAGGGAGAGAGAGAGAGAGAAGGGGGGAGAAAGAGAGAGAGAGAGAGAGAGAGATGCAGACAGAGAGAGAGAGAGAGAGAAACAAAAAAAGAGCGAGATGCATGGTTCCCCTCGTGCTTTCTCTATCTCCCCTTTCCACTACCTTCGCTGCTCCTCTCCCGCCACCCTCTGGTACGCTGGTGACGCTGGGCAGACCGTCCAAACCTTAAAGTGATGCCCCCGCCCACCAACACAAGGACATCGCGTGCATCTCTGTGCTGGTGGGCGGCATCTCCACGGCGCCGCCGCCGCTCACATTGACGTGTGTGGCCACAAGCTACACAGGCGCTCGGTGCAGAAACAACTTTGTCTCCGACTCTCAGCTAGATGCAAATGCTGACGACTGCTGAAGCGTCCCGTCATTTTTGTTGTCCTCATCCAGAGAACATGTTGCTGATCAGATGTCTACAAGACGCCGCGTCTACGAATTCCGGGTAAGATCCGTTTCCAACTCTGATCCCTGGAGCTCTTGCGGAGGATCCCGAGATTCCTTGGAGCCTAGCTGGCGGCTCCCCGGAAAACGAAATCTCCTCTCAGCCCCCTGAAGGCTCAGGAGGGTTTCTCCGAACGCCAATCCGCAGGCCGACGCTGGCTTGCAGCTGGTCGCATGTCAGTGATGTCGAGACGATGTGGGTTTGCACCACCACATTGTGCGGGGGTCTCGAGCGAAACCGCGCCCAAACAAGGTGAAGCCAAGCAACTCGTAAGGACGTCTCTCCGGCGAAACCGCGCCGAAACCAAGTCAAATCATGGACTTCGTCAGGATGGTTCAAAAGAAAGAACGCCCCACACCCAGCCTAACCAAGCACACCGTGATTACGTATCAAGCATACCGCGTCCAAACTAGGCAACCTGCGACGACATCTCAAGCGAAACCAATCCAAAACCAGGCAAAACCAAAGCCCAAACCAGGCAAACTCGAAGGATGTCTCAAGCGGGGCGCCCTGCCAAACCAAAGCAAACAAAACCAAACCAGGGGTCAACTCAGGCAATTTCCGGGGATGTCTTAATCGAAACGCCCCAAACATGGCTCCATTCTCTCCTAAGTCAACTACAGCTGAAAGAATTGATGACCCGAGGGGGTCGTGCAATAGGAACTTTCCTAGGGGAGAAGGGGGTGCTGCGCAACAGGATGCATGTGGCTGGGACGCAACAACATGTATTTGTCTTTCGGTTGCTGTTCGGGCAGCGGTGTGGCGTCAGGAAAGGTGTTCCTTTGCCAGTAAAAAACTGTTGGGCGTTCGATCCCCATGGAACAAAGACCAGCTACACATCTTCTACTGCCCACCCCTCGGCCTGCTCCTGCCGCCGTCTTCGCCAACTTTCGCGGGTGGCATCGGAGTACTGTCGAGCCAGGGGAGGCCTTCCACGACTGCCTTTGAGAAGTGCCTGGCCGGCTGCACCAACAAAGAAAGTGTAATCACACATGTGCAACTAGCAGCTCAGTGCAAATGGCTTGGGGTGGGCTGCGTTCTCTATCTGGAAGTCCATCATGGCGCGTGGGTATAAAAAACAAGGGACAGCTTGGCAACAACGGAAGTTTGGAACTCATTGGCCAAACGGGCCTCCGGCGTGGTAGATGTTACACTGGGCCCCCAAAGCGGGCGAAGGCAACCCAAGAGCGGGCGAAAACCCTCCCAAACGCACGCCAAGAGCGTCGATCAAAGCGTCAGGCTCCATGATGACCTCACTTTGGCCCGCTGATGGATCCGAGATGGTACCGAAATGGCCCCAAGATGGCCCAAGACAACCCAATTGACTGCACACGCGGCCCAACATTGCCAAAAACACCCTTCATTTGATGTTGCCAAAAAAGTCTGGATCCTCGAACAGCCAGGTGCTGGCCGATGATATTGGCCTTCCTGCCTGTGCGGGTTGCCATAGGCTTCTCGAACCCCGACGTGGTCCCAAGAGGGCAACAGCGCAGCCCCAAGAGGGCACCACTCCCGCCCCCCAATCCCACCACCCACTGATGGCCTCCAGAAATTCTCCAAAACCTCCCGGTATTGCCAAGACAACGTGACATCTGTGAGTTTGGCCCCTCTGTCTCTGCGGGCTGCAATTGACTTCTCGTCCCCCGCGCTGGCCATGAGATGGCCCCAAAAAAACTCTGAAAGGGGCCTGCGACCCCCGAGAGGACCCCAAGAAAAGGACCCCAAGATGGCTGGAAGAGGGCCCACCGAGGACAAAGAGCGGCCCGCCAGTGGAGCCCGGTGGCAGGCACTCCGCGCGATGGCCCCAAGACAGCCCCGGGAGGCCTGGTAAGATGACCCCAGCGCGGCCCGATATGACCCATTCCCCAACCTACCTGTAGGATGCCCCGAGTAGCTCCTGAGAGGCCCCTGCTAGTCGCCAGAACCACCCCCAAACACTATAATATTGGAATAACCACAGGACAACATCACGGCTTTCCAAGAGCGGCCCAACAGAGGGCGCCAGGGGGATGCATGCACCAACGCGGCCCCAATGCAGCCCCACAGCGTCTCAAGACGGCCCGCCGCGATTGCCCAAAAGACGGCTGTCTGCGCGCCTTGATGTAGCAAACTATGAAAGAGCGCGCCCGTGGTACACTCCCAGATAGGGCCCACCCCCCCCTTAGCGACCCCTCCCCATGGGACCTTCCCTGCTCAACCCCCCCTCCCCCCTCCCTGTTTCCCGCCCTTCGAAAGCTACCCCGTGCCTCCTTTCGCGCTCTGCCCCCCCCCCCCCCCTCCCTTTCCGGCGGGGGGGGGCCTTGACTCCCCCCCCCCCTTGGACCTGTTCCCCTGTCGGAAGCCCCCGCCCCCCTGCTCCGTTGCCCGCCCCTCGCCGCCCCCCGCCCCGCCCCGCCCCGCGCGTCGCGAATGCTAGCGCTGCAGCCTCTGCCTCCTCGAGGCTGCCGTACTTGGGCTCTGGCGCTGTCGGGCCACTCGGCGGCTTGGCCTTGCCCCCCCTGCTCCTGGCCTTGGCCTTGGCCGCGGCGGAGTGGTTGTCGCTCGCGCCCTGCAGCTTCTGGGCCCACTCGTTGCCTCGGGCGCGCGCCTGGGCGACGCCGATGGGCGGCTGGCGGCCCTCGCCCCGAATCTCGCGCAAGGCGCGCTCGACCCACCTCGTCGCCCAGGTCGCGGCGCTCGACGGCCGCGCGCGCCCCCTGCTTGGGCGCCTTTAGGTAGGCGTAGTGCGCGGGGGCCTCGAAGTGCGCCGCAATCAGCCGGTGCTCGGCCTTCTCGACTCTCTCGGCCCAGCGCTCCTGCTCCTCGGGTTGCCGGGCTGCGGGCTCGCCCTCGCCCTGGCCCTCTCAAGCCCAGGCGGCGGCCTCCGCGGGCCCGATCGCCGGAACGCCCCCGGGGGCGCCCGCGCGCTCCTCGATCTCGCCGAGCAGCGCGCTTACCGAGCACAGCTCGAGGATCTCGCCCATCTTGATCTGCTCGCAGTTAATGGTCGCGCGATGCCTGGCGAGCGCGGCGCGCCGAGGTACCCTGCTAGAGGCCTCCTCAATGGGGCCCCCATTCGATGCGGTCAGAAGATCGCGCGGCATCGCCGATGCATCGGCGACGCGTCGGCCACGCGTCGGTCATGCGTCGGCGACGTCGGCGACGGACGCATCGGCGACGTCAGCGCGGAGAAGGGCCCCGCGTCGAGCCGCGTCGGCGATGCGTCGGCGATCCGGCCCTCCGACCCCATCTACTCGGATCCCATCGAGGAGGCCTAGACCTGAGATGCGCTTGTTTAGCTTGGCTGGCCCGAAGAACAACTGGTCGTCCTGCTCGACTGCGGCCTGCGGGGCTGGAGGGTTCCTTTGGGAACCCCAAGGGTTCCTAGATGAGAATCTCTGGGGTTCCATCGCGAATCCACGGGCCCCCGATGGCGATCCATATGACTCCTGAGGACATGCATAAGATTCCTTTGGGAACCCATTGGATTACTGGAGGGGCCGCAGAATTCCTTCCGACATCCATGGGGGTTCTCAGGACAATACACTGGGTGTCTTGGGAAATTCATGCGCGTCCAAAGGAAATGCCAGACATCCTGCGGCGCCCTAAGGGGGGCCATGGGTTCCCTGGGGACATCTATAGGACGCCTTAAGGCATCCGAATACATGTTTAAGACATGAGTAAGGATCTTCGGACATCCATATGGTTCTTTTGAAAGTATATATCTTCCTTTGGAGATCCATCGGGTTCCTTGGGGCAGCAATCGGACTCCTTAGGACAGCCATCGGACTCTTTGAGAAAGTCAAATGGAGCCCGTAAGAAATGCCATCGGGCCCCCGAGCGCACCCATGCGCTTCTGGCCGACAACCGCAGGATTCCCGCGGAAGCCCCCGGGCCCCCCCAGAACAACCGCGCGAGTCCTTCGGCTACCTCCACAATTCCAACGGAGGGCCATCAGAGATGGATGAGGAGGAGGAGGGGTCCCAGGGCCCGATGTCCAAAGAGGCTTCGATTCTGGACCAGCGGTTTTCCGTATGAAACGCAACTTTTCAAAATCACATTCGACGGCGCATGCGCGGGGGCCCGCGGCGGCCCGCTGGCGGAGATCAGCGCGGATAAAACATGCCGTGCTGGGCGCGCAGCGCCAGGAAGGAACGGGGCCCCACGGGGAATCAAAAGGATGTCTTAGGACATCCATGGAAGTGCGCCGATGGTTTTACTTAGATATGCGCCTTCACACGCTTCCGCTTAACTGAGCGAAGGAAACCCATGGGACTCCGGGGGAGATCCATGGGAGCCCTGCGGACATCCATTGGATCCCTTTGGATCCATGAGAATCCGCGGGGGGCCATGGCATCCTCGTGGAAACCCATTTGATCCCTTAGGACATCTATATATAGGAACCCCTAAGACATCCATCGGAGCCCCCAGGAACTCCACGTGCTTTCTTTTGGAAGCCCACATGCTTCATTCGGACATTATTCAGATTCCCCGTGGAATCTATAGAAGTAAATCCTTAGGGGTCAAAAGGATCCCTCTGGACATCCATCGGATTCCTTTGGGAGCTCATAGGGTTCCTTCGGACATCTGAAGCAATCCCCAGGAAAGCTTTCGGATTCCTCTGGAATTCCGTACGATTCTTAAGGGCATCCTACGGATTCCTTCGAACGTTCATGAGAATTCTCATGGAATTCATAGGGTTCCGGCGGGGGGCCATGGGATTCCTCTGGACACCCATAGGAATGCTGTTGGAAGCACTGGGTTCTGTAGAAATCCATGGGATTCTTCAGGGCACCAGCTGGGCCCCTTGGGGCATCGATGGGTTTCATGCGGAAATGCATGGGCTTCTTCTGGAAATCTGCACGACCACTAAAGAAATCCATGGACATTCAATCGGGTTCACGAAGAAGTCTACGGGATTCGTTCGGCAATCCATCTGATCCCTTTGAAATCCATTGGGTTCATTGGGGGCCCGTATGGTTCCTGAGGAAGCTCATTGTATTCCATAGGGAATCAATGGGCTTTCTCATGAAATTCATAGGATCCCTGAGGGCATCTGCATGAGTCCATCGAAAGATAATCGGATTGCTTGGGCAATCGATCAGGTCCCTTAGGACATCCATACGATTCCTTAGGACATCCATGGGAGTCCTTGGGAAATCCATTGGGTTTCCTGGGGCGTCTGTGAGAGCCCTGAGGCAATTCGTGGGACTCCTTAGGACATCTACAAGACTCCTTGGGACATGCGCAGGATCCCTTAGGACATCGATGGGATTAATCCGGACACCCATAGGATGTGTTAGGATTCCTCCTGCTCCTCCTCTTCCTCTTCCTCTACCTATTCCTCCTCCCTCCCGCCCTCCTTTCCCCCCCCTTCCACCTCCCCCCCCCCGTCTTCCCCCTTCCTGGGCCGCCGAATCTCGACGCCGTCGATCTGGGAGAACGTCGCGGCCACCACCTTGTGCACTCGGAGGCGGTCGGTGTTCTCGGCGCCCAGGACTCGCCGCGCGCCCTGGGCCCTGCCGCGCCCGCCCTCGCGGGCCCCCTCCTCGGCGACGCGGGCCGCCGTGCCGTGCCCGGGGGGGCCCTCGCAAGCCTCGAGGCCTGCCTTCTTCGCGGCCTCGCCCACGTGCTTTTCGTTGGCCATCGACCTTGTCTTGCCCCTGAACTCCTCGCGGGGGCTCGCCCTGACCGCCGGGGCTCTGCCTGCGAGTTTCGCCTGGGCCGCGCCTCGGCGCAGGTGCTGGAGCGAGGGCTCGCCGCCAGTCTCGTTTTTCGTGCGCTGCCACTCGCGCTGCAGCATGCCCGCGAACTGGCCCGCGAACTTGGCCGCCCACTTGTTTTTTCTTGCGACTGCTGCGGATCATGTTGAGTTGGTTCTCGAACGCGCGCAGGAACTGAATCTCCTTGATCCGCTCCTCTGGCGGCCTGAGCACGTCCTTCTGCTCGTCGGCGAGCTCGGGGCCCAGGTCTCGA